CAGTTTCTCCCTTTTTACAGCATTGTTTTCTTCATCCTCGCTGTGTTTGGAAGATCCCCCCAAAAAAGGAAAACAACTTAATGACTACATGCAAGTAAAGGCCTTAGACTTTCACCAAGGATTTTCCAGCCAATGAGTTTCATGCTTCTGGCCTATGCATTCACTGAACAGGTGAGCTGCATACAAAATTACTCTGAAATATTCCAGATGCATTGGATTTGCTGCTCACAGAGAGATTTCAGATGAAATTTTGACCACAGCTGTAGCCTTGTAGCCACAGTGGTGAGAAAGAAACCACTGTGCTGTGGGTAACAGAAACTCTAGGGGTGGAGTAGGTAGGATGTAACTAGGCAAAAATATGTTGAGTTCCTTTCCCTTCCCAAGCACCAGTCTGCATAGTGATGGATGGAAAAAGTAACAGAAGAATGAAAGCAGGGACACGATCCGATTTACCCAGGTGTTGGAAAAATGTCTGTGTTCTCCAAACATGCACCAGCCATGCAGCTCCTGCTAAGCTACTATACAGACATGAAATCCCCAACTTCTACTTGAGTAAAATTTATTGATGGAAATATGGGGGTATGTCTGGGGAAAGCCAGATGAATTTTAAGTTTCCTTATACTCTGCCACTAATATTCCATGAAATATTTTGAATTCCCTACAAATTGTGACCATCTAGTTCTACATATCATAAAGCCTTCTCCTTGCGCTGTAGTCCTTGGCTTCTAGAATTCATTCTAGGTCCCTCTACATCTCTGCAATATCCAGAAAAGTCCACCTGTGGCTATTTTTATGCATCCATGCCTGGATTTAATCCACTAAAAGGGGGGAAGAGGACAAGTCTGGCAAAGTAGCCAACAAACTCACACTGGTTCACTTCCCTGCAGTTTCCAGCAACAAATCACTTTCTTGCTCTGTGAAACTGCTCCTGCACAACTTGTTGAAACAAACAAATCCCAACCATGGTCTTGCATTCAAGACTGGCATTTAGAATCATAGAATCATAGAATCATAGAATCACTAAGGTTGGAAAAGACCTAAAAGATCACCCAGTCCAACCGTTCACCTATTCCCAATAGCTCCTACTAAACCATGTCCCTCAACACAACATCCAGTCTTTCCTTGAACACCCCCAGGGTCGGTGATTCCACCACCTCCCTGGGCAGTCCATTCCAGTGCCTGACCACCCTTTCTGAAAAGTAATACTTCCTCATGTCCAGCCTGAATCTCCCCTGCCGTAGCTTGAAACCATTCCCCCTGGTCCTATCACTAATGACACGAGAGAAGAGGCCGACCCCCAGCTCACTACAACCTCCCTTCAGGAAGTTATAGAGAGCAATAAGGTCTCCCCTGAGCCTCCTCTTCTCCAGGCTGAACATTCCCAGCTCCTTCAGCCTCTCCTCATAAATTTAATAATTTTAGTGGTAAATGCAGCTGCCCTGTCCTTTTGTGGCAAATCAGCTGAATGACCAATCCAGGAGGTAAAATTGAAGTACGCATACAGCACTCCCACAAAGGGTGGCAGCTGGTAGGACTGAATGCTTGGTGGAAAAAAAATTTTATCCCTTTCTTCCCACAAATATTTCATGCTTGACTATACACAGGTGCTGTTAAATGAATAAAGTAAACATACTGAAAAACAGAGATAAGCAATACTCATTTATTATTTTCAGTGAAAAAATGGGGAACATTCTTAAACAAAGGAAGGGATGTTTAATTTTATGCTGTCACTAAGAAAATCTACTGAAAAATCTAATTTTTTTTTTTTATTTTTTTTTTTAATCACAGCACAGCAATGATCTATTTTTGGTACTGAATTAAAGGACTAGTAGCTGGTTATTTTATTAGATCTTTAATGCTTCCTTACTGGAGTAATATGATTTATTCCACATTAGAGAAAACATGTATTTTTTCTTCTGAAAATTCAATGTGAATTATAGGGCAAAGTCACTTCCAGCGAAACTGGTTTAGTAATACCCACAGGTGATGGCATGAACTCCATTAAAGGCAATGAAATTACCCCACTTCACAAATTCTTGGCAAGAATTTTATCCAGAAACTTCAGTGTACTGAGTTGACTACTAAAGGAAATTCACAGTAATTAACATGGATCTCAAAGGTTGAGAATTCAATAGTCAGTCTTCAAGTCAAAACATGAAGTTCAGTTTTTTGTAAATTAATGTCCTAGTCATGGACTGCTAACTGCCAAGAATGTTAAATGTAACTAAGTCACTGAAAGGTCATCAAATTAATGTAAAAAACAAATGAATGAGCATTTCTAAGAAATCCTCCAGAAGTTCTCAGTAGTTTTCACTCCTTACTGCAAACTTTCACAAAACAAAAACAAAGATATCTTTTTAACTGTCAATTTCTAATTTCAAGCCAATTGAAACCTTCTATGAATGTGAAACATTTTTTAAAAATGTTTCAAAATGGCTTTTGTCACACTATATAATGCAGAAGTCTTTTTTAAAACACTCTCAGTAATTATTAATAAGCTCATTGATTTTGTTATGCTCAGAAAGAGCATAAAACATTAAGACAATTAGGCATTGTGATGGATTTGAACACATGGTGTGTTTTGCTGTTAACATGAATCCATAACTTCCATTAATGTCAGTATGAGTTATACACTGTCCCAAAAATACGACCATAACAAAAATATTTCCTCCAGAACTAATATACTAATATTTTTATAGACATTTGGAAAAAAAAAAAAAAAGTCTCACATTTAGAAAGTGAAAGTACATGAAAAACCTCCTCCAAATTTTAGCACTTTGGAACTCACAAGAATAAATCTCAGATTTTTACATACTGGCATCAAGATAAGAGTAACTTCATATTTATCTCCTTCCATCCAACTACTTTTCCTTAAATAGTACTTATCTAGTTCCAAGTTCAAAAAGACTAGGCAGATAATGAACAAGATTAAGCTCCTATCCAGTTTTACTCTAAACTTCCTTAAATAACTGAATTTATATGGGGGCATGTAATGACAACTGGAGAAATTACATAAAACTGACAACCGATTGTAGTCTGTAAATTAAGATGGATCTTGGCAATGTCAGCCAGATGGACACAGAATGCAGAGTTATGTTTGGAACTTGAACATAATATAAGCATAGGAAATCATCATGAATGCTTTTAAAAACAGTTCATGCCTATTTAACTGGAAACTAGCAGCCAAGAAACCATAATCACTCCATATCAAATAATTAAGTGATAAATAGAATTTACAGTCAATTCTTCCAATTAATTAATTAGCTTAAAGTATCAGAGAGAAGCTAGATGAAGAAACTCTACTGTACTAAGTTACTACAAAACAAAATTGTAATTATTCAGTCAGCGGGTTTCTAGGTCTTAGCTAGCATCTGCAATCTGTTCTTGAGAGTATCATGTTCAAAAGAATAATTTAAGACCTTATGTAGTACAATGTATTATAGCAGTTTTATAAAGTTTGTTCATTGAGCACTTATTCAGGCAGCAATTTCAAAAATTAAAAAAGTACTGCAATGAAATATTTGAATTATTTTATAAAGACTTTACTAATACATATACAATCTAAGTTATGTTGTTTTGTGTATTTTATTAAGTTAAATAATCTGGTAGACCTAAGTAAAATTAAGGTTCACACATATTTAATTAGACAATGTTGTGTTTAATTGAATTTATGTAGCTCTTCTCAAACATAGAGCTCAAAAAATGAATAAACGTTCAGTTTTTGCTTCTTCCTAGATTCAGTTCTAATGTTGTCTAAGAGGTAAAACAAAGAAACAATAAATAGAAATTATTGTGTGAAAATTTTACTCATTATCATCTGATAGTGTCACTCACTCTCACAATTCGTGCTCTCTGTTCTTAATATCATGTAATACGATTTTATATATTTTGTTTTGTTCTCAAAGAAACAGATCAAAGCTCTATACAGAAAATAGATGTCTGCATGAAGAATGCCTGTTGTGAATGTCTAGGTTATCATAGGTGAACTAATATGTACATTAAAAAACTCAATAACCCCAAAATGTGTATATATTCAATATATCACATAATACTATAAATCACACATATTACCAATTTATATACACCTCATTAAAATAAAAAGCAGAAGTTCTTTTGATTTCATGGAAGCAGTCATTGTAAGATTAGTGTTTCCATACGTATATTAGATGGCAGCCATTCTTAAAATCTGCTTTTATACAACTGCAGGAAGCATATGTGGCCATCTGCCACCTTGTCTTTTTTAAAGCATTATTAAGATTTTTTTTTCTGATGATTTACCTTCCTTTGAAATGTCAGGATAGCGACAACTACCTAGATAAAGCTACATGTATTTCAAATGTTTTTGTTTTTGTTTTTGTTTTTCTCCCCAACAAAACAGTTTGGGAATTAGAACAGTGAGTTTTATTTGTTGACTGCTAACTATATGCTTACTGGGTTTTCTGAGCCACAACAACTTCACTTCTTTTCTGCAAATGCTAACTTTAAGGATCATGCTAAAGCCTTATTAAAGACATTTTCCCTTATCACACATAGGAAGACAAATTTAATTAAAGGTCAGTTTGGTATGCTTATATATTGCGATTATGTGTACACTGATAGGTGTTTGTTTTGTGTTTGTTTTTTTTTTAACTAATTCAATCCAATCATTTTTGCACCATCCACAAAGTTGACGAACCCCTTTCCTTGCATGATACTAAGAAAACTCCAATATACATTTCTCAATGAAAGACGGGGCCTTAAATATTCCTATGGAAGTTACAGTGCAATGATATTTTAATTGCATGTATCAAAAGGTAGCATTCAAAAATTCTTATCGTGTTAACTGTTCAGTAATGTAATGAATGTAATGTAATAAGCAAAATGAACACTCTATTTTTTGTATTTTCAAAGATACTTCAGTCCTGCTATTAGAAGATTATAGGTTTAAACAGGGAGAAAAACAATCTTTTAGAAAAAAAAAAATTAGCTTTCCTAGAAATTTGAGAAAGCAATGTACTTACTTCATTTCTAGAATTTCTTCAAGTTGCTTTCTCCGCTCTATTCTCAGGTTAGCCAGATGTGCTTCCTTCTCAGCCAAAGACTGCTGTGTCGAGGCAAGACGGGCTTTGGTAGAATCTAGTTCTTGTCTTGTCTTTTCCAATGCATTCATCAGTTCTTCTACCTAAAAGAAAGAGAATTTTTTAAGCTCCATATTCTTCATAATAAGTAAAGAATATGTTCACACACAAAAGGAATTACTTTAACTAAGTGGCTGTTCATATCCATTCCTGTTTGAAAAACAAACAGAACATAATTAAAAAAAAAAAAAAAAGTAGTGTTTCTATGAATCTTGTATCAATCTTGCATCTTGAATCTTGTAACATGTAAGATTTATACAAATCAGCACTAACACATACTGCCAGCAATGTATTTAACCTGGGCCACTGTCACATACAGACACAATTTACAAATATTTTCTGCATCATTTATATTATTGTAGTTCAGGGAGGTGATAATTCATCACAAGAAATTTTAGATTCAGATAATAGTTATGTATTTTAACATAAAACTCTTCATGACTGTCTATATCCTTTCAGCAAAAAGTTGTTCAGAGAAGCTGTAGATTCTCCACACATTGGGTATTTTCAGAGTTGGACTGAACAAACTTAGGGAATTGGATCCAGCTCTAAAGTTGTCCCTGCTTTGAGCAGAGTTTTAGAATGCATTGCCTCCATTGGTCCCCCTGGTAACCCAAATTATTCTGATTCTTGTCATAAGGAGGGCAGTAGCATGCATTGTTGTTCATATTCACATTGTTATCATACCCACCAGGCTACTCTTCCCAAGACAACCAAGAATCTCTGAAGTATGGAATAAAAAAAATGTAAGGTAAATGTTAGCATTTGCATTGGTAAATGTCAATTGGATTTAGGGTAAATTACTTGCAGGAATTCAGAAAAACTTCCTGCTTCCAGAAAATAAAATTTAAAGGTAAAAAAGTGCACGCTATAGTCTATCGTGTTATTTAAATAACAAAGATTACACATGACTCCTCTCTGAAGGCAGAAAAAATTCAGCTGTGATCATATTATCAGTTTGCTTACAGAGAAAGTAAGATGTTTCCCCCAAAGTTCATGTTTAATTGTTGTTTGCAGTTATCTAAATTCTAGTAGAGTGCAATTAGTGATTATGAACCACTTTTTTTGTTCAAGCTAAACACTCATTGCTTTGCTTGCCTACCACATGACAAGTTCAATAAAGCAAAATTAATAACCCAGTGTCTACCAAATTACAGTGAGTAGGACTCACACTGTTTGAATATCATACATAAATTACTTACCTCTTCTATACCAGCTACATCTACATCCTTATAAACATTATAATAAGTATCAATACAATTCAAGGATGCATCTGATACCCTCCAGGGTTTAAGATGTTGTATTTCATTAAGGCAGTATCAGAATTGTCCATAGCACTGGAATTACTGATGTTCAACCTCCGATTCAAACAGTAAAGAAACACTTCTGTAAATAAGCGCAAGGAGTACAAACCAAGCCACGGAGTCTGAGAAGGAGCAAGACTGTACTAAAATAGACGTCCATATTTTAAACCATCTAAGGAAATTAAAGGCTTCAGAAAAAAAAAAAAAAGCCAACAAAACTGTAGATTTGTTAAGGTATATCAATCACATACTTATGTATTATTAGAAAAAAAAGAGGTCAAAGTTTGAGAAAATAAAACTGAAAATCTGAATATGAACATTTCTTCAAACCACAAATCATTAACATATGCAGATTGGAAATTTATATTTTCATTTATACTTCCAGCACAACATTTGCCAGCCAGTTCTTCCTTCACTTTTTAAATTTGACCCAAGAAGTTTTCATATTCAAATTTTCAGTTTTTGTCTCCAAATTCTTAATATAAGCACTATTCTCTTATTTGATATCAGTGTTAGAATGATTAAAAGAATGTAACTATATCACCTTCGAGATTAAAATCAAAATGTTGATTTACAATCTCCTAGTCCTACTGTATGGAACGGAGGCAAGTCCAGTACTACTAGAGCAAAGTTTTAACTTTCGCACCTACAGCAAAACGTTTCTTTCAAGAGCATACAGGTACACAGCATCTCAAAAAAAATTAACACAATGGTGTCTTTAAGATTTATTTACACAGAAAAGTGTCTCAATTTCACTGTTGTGTATCAGTACAGTATCTGGAAATCCAAGCAGCCCTTCAGTGCCTCCCAGTGCTGCACTGTCCCTGTGTCAGCCGTGTCAGTGCTGGCCCAGGTCTGTCTATGGCAGCTGGCACTGCCTGCAACACCTCAGCCCTGCTGCTCACTGAGCTCTGCAAGGCTGCTGTTATGGCTTTCAGAAAGGCTAACTGATGGCAGTACTTCAAGAATGTTAATAAAATTAGTACCAGAACTTAACTTTACATTTCAGAATGGCAGAAAACCAGGAAACCAAACTATTGCAATTCTTTTTAAATTTTGAATCTATTTTAAATGAACGCTTTCTACTTGTACCACATCACATTTCCAAGTCCTGTCCTCACACACCAACATCAGTTTCACACTAAGATAAAGAAAGAAAAAGAAATGTATGCTGCTGAAGTATACATCTGCATTACCAGATTCTGTGAATTAAAAAAGGTTAAAGTTCAAATGAGTGACAGATTATTAAAAATGCCCTGGAGCATTCTTAATTCCAGATTGGATCCGGCTCAGCACAACTCATGCTAACATAATACTGTTCCAGTTTGTGGGAATAAGGAGAGGGAGCGACAACAGCATGTTTTCTCTGTTTAAATACAATATATTTCTGCAGAATGATGACAAGCTGGCAGCTCTCCAGCAATCAAGGTTAGTATTATTAGTATCACTATCTTTAAATGGTGGGCACTTCATTTTTAATAATGATATTAGTTATAAATAATTATAATATAAATAACTGTAAATTCAGGATTTCCCTTACTGAATTCAAATATCAGGAACTATAAGTAAACCCCACACCAACTTAATTTAAACCCAATCTCATATTAGTAGACACTGATTATTTATTAATTTTGCATGGTAAAATTCAAAGTGATAACTCCTACTGTTTAGTTCCAGCTTCTTCACTTTTGTTTAATACAAGAATATTAAACGTTATGGATAATAATAAAAAGCGTAGTAAATTATTCCATTCATTCAATACAAATACGAGCCACATTTTTATAACAAAAAAGTGTAAAAATCCACACAGTTGTTTTTAAATGTCCTTTTTTTTCCATTTGCTAAGGAAATGCTTTTTACAATTTTTTCTTCAAAGTCACACACTATATAAATTTATCTCCAGTTCTGTAAAGATTAATTTAATGATGACAACTTTTTCTTTTTTCCTCCCTATGATTAAGCATGAGACTGGAAAAAAAAAAAAAAAAAAAAGACTAATTCCTTAAGGTTCCTCTTTGTGGCTTTCATACAAACACAGTCTGTCACTGGACTACAAGGACATAGATAACACAGTCACAGTGATAAGGGAAAACATACGAAAATGTGGATTTGTACACACTTCTGACTCAGGCAGGAGACTTCAGCTTTTTACACTAATGGCTGCTGGTCATGCACAGAACCACTCTACCTTTTGGCCAGTTCAATTGAAGACACACAGGTCCAGCATAAGTCATGTTGACCTGCAATATGGTTTGCAAATATCTTGTTTCTTTCTCCTCCTAATACGAGTCTTTACCAGTGTACAACAGCCTAACTCGTTCCATTTCAAAGATGCTCTTCCCAGAAGGGAACAGGTGGAGTAAAGTGCCATACTGAGCTTTGCAAGACATGGAAATAACTTCTCTGTCATGCTTCCCTCCAATTACTTCCATTCCCATTTGTCATCCATAGCCAAATTCCTCATCTCAAGACTACTTCCATCACAACTTTTAAATTCAGAAAACAGGTCTAACAAAAGCAACGTACATATGGAGAGTGATGATCCCAAGCCTTTTCAAATCAAGAAATTAGTCATAAATTGTGTCTCACAATTCTGGATATTGGAAAAAGCAACCATATTCTAGGATACACATACAGATTAAAATAAACATGTCAGTGAAGCATTTGACAGGAAAGCAAGGAGATTTATTACATCCAAGATAATAGCTCATTTTTGTGTTTCTGTTGTTTTGTTTCATTTTGTTTTATGACAAGAGTCCAATGATATCAACTAGCAATGTAGCGAGAGTATGACACAAATTACCAGAAGTGCTGATAGAGAAAATCTCATGAAATGGATGAAATGATTTGCAATCTCCATAGGAACAAAATAGCACAATTTTCGAGTTGGATGCCATGCTGCAGTATTTGAAACCAAAACTTTTTTGAGATTACTACATAAAGCAGGATTCAAAATACTTCTATCCTCCTGCTAAATCCTATGTTAATAATATACAAGGCTTTTATTCAGACAAGGAAGAGACAGTATAGATATAGGACAAATTCATCTAGACTTGTTATGGATACCAACTATGTTCATTGATATGAGAGAAATATATTTCCATCCCTACATAAAACATTCCAGCATTTAAAATATCCCCATAGGTTAAAAGAAATGTATATATCATAAAAAGGGGGATTAATCGTGTACCAGTCTTTATCATATTGATGTTAAGATTCTGCAAGATAGATCAGAGAAAAGGCTTGAAATTATTAACTTTCTTGAAACTGTCAGTAAGAATTCCCATCACTTTTTAATCTCAACTCAATAGTTCAATAAAAGATAGGGCCACAGGAATATATTTATTGCATTCATTGTCTGGTCTTCCAGTTAAGATAGCAATTTCATCTGTAATCAGAAAACAAGCTTAAGTAATTTTGAAATACTGGTAATAATCAGATAAGTAAAATAATAATCATACATAAGCCAAACCAAAACAACCAAAAGCAACAAGATTTGTATGTGTTTATATATATATATATATATATATATATATATATATATATATATATATAAACATATATATAACAAACATAGGTCACCCTGAAAGCAATGCCTCTTATTTATTTCCAGGGAAACTACAGCAGATATTTGATAGAGCAAATTCTCAGCTACAAAACACTCTTTTTCAACACAGACACCACGATTAGCTCTTCATTTTCACCAGAATTTTCACCAGCAATGAACAAGAGCTTGCATACCCTGTTCATAAAAATCTACTCCAGCTGAGGTGGGTGACCCACTGCCACCACTGCTTAAATGCATCACCCACCACCTCACTGTGCTCACATCTGTTTGGTTTCCATAAATGTTCAGCAAGAATCAATGAATGACAACGGGCGTTTTTTTTTTTCCACGCAGATGAATTGAATTCTACAACTTTTCTTCATACACAGTTCCATGAGAGACACCATTTTGTCACATTGCCCCTCTGCTGCCATCTGTCACAAGGGAACAACATTTAATGGAATACTGGTTGGAAGGGTCCACCTCCAGTGCCATACCAGCAATGTCTGCCTCTGACATTGTGAGCCAACATAATAAAAGAGAGGGCGTGGATTTTGGAGCAGCCCTTGCATGAGCGTGTATATAAAATGGCATGTATATTGTTTAAACCAAATAAAAAAATATAAACTCTGTTTTAGTGTCGTTTCTAGACACATGGAAACCTCTTCAAGTGCAACCACAGTTGCAAGATGTGAATATGACCTTCAGCAAAACTTAAAGGGATGGTCAAAGTAGCAGAATATTCTTCATTAGCAGCAAAATAGAATTATATGATGAAGTAATTTCTGTAACAATCTGATTCTGCAATGCTGTATAAATTAAAATAATAAATAAACCTCACACTATGTCAGTAAAGATACAGTATTCTAAGTGTTGCATGAATCAATTAACAAACATTCTGTGCTGAAGGTGAACTCATGCTGACAAAGCCTAACTCACCATTGGCCTCATTCAACCTTAGAAGTCATCCACACATACTCTGTAATGGAAATAAGACCAGATATCTAAGCAACTGCACAACTTTACTTCTTACAAAAAAATTATCTTTTTTTTTAATTTAATTAGAAAATGAATTATTTTATTACCATATTTTACTGGTTTCCTCTCTTTCTCACTGAACTTCATTTGAGAAAGTCTATGATTATTTTTAAGTGGCTGGTGGCCTCAGTTCTGCTCAAACTTACACTTGTTTGACATCATACAAACCTAATAACAAAAGTAGTATTAACAACACTTTATAGTTGTGCAAATGGAAGCAGATTTAGATGGTATGTATTGATAAATTACAGAGCTCAACCTAGTGTTTCCAGAAGCATTAACAAATATAGAGTAGTAATTGAATTAGCTATTGAAGATATGTTGATTTCAGTAGGACACT